GGTTTCCCTCCAAGTTTAAAGCTGTCTGTTGTTCTTATTGGTTCAACAATATTCACAGCGAAAGACCACAAACGCTCCAGCCATAAACATAGACTACCTCCGAGGGACACGAGAGTTCCTTCCTAAGCACATTTTAGTTTGCCGTTCTTGGAGTACAAGGCTTGGATATCATCCAGGTTACTTGAAATATAATAATGCGCATTTTACACATCCAGATTGAGAATATGGTAATTAGTACAACACTTCTGCCTTCCACAAAAGTAATTGGGGTCGTATTATGCAACTATGGAGCATGCATATTTATCACGGCATTCATGTTTGCCTTTTTTTCAGAGGAAACATTATGTGATGTGTTTGTTTGTCCTGCACTAGAAAAGCACATCTGCGTCCTGCTGTAGGAAGTCTGCTTGACAAGCGTCGTCTTTGCTTTACTGGTAGAAGTGACTAATAAGTGTCTTGATAATTACTGAACAAAAAAAAGTCTATTTGCTGAAACTTGGCGGAAAGTCCAAAATATAACTGATAAAATATTGCCGTCTAAAATGTAATCTGAGAATCGCATTGTTGCTGGTTGGATGATGCAGAATACTAATTATTTATGCCACTTCCTGCCAAAAAAGAATTTGAAACTAATTAACATGATTGTTTTGGGCCATGGAAGTTGCTTTTCCAATAATTCCACCTTGGCGCGGTGCTGTAGTCAATATATAAGTAATGCTGGGCTTTGAATGTACACAAATGGCATGGACTGTACCTCTCAGCTGTATTTACAGCCTTTTAAGCTAAAACATTAATGAGGACAATATTTGACTACAAAGAAACCTATATCCATTAGTTAATGTTGTAAGGGTCTGCCAATCACCAGGAATGTTGGGTTTATGTACTCGTATAGTGTTCAATTAGAGAAAGATTTGAAAGGTTTGGCAACTGTTACACGCAGTTACATTGGTCTACCTTGGACCTACTGCGCCATGCCTGTAGGACCCCCTGGAAGCCACAGATAGAAAGATGTGAAAGTTTTGGCAACTGCTACACGCAGTTTCACTGGTCTACCTTGGACTTACAGCGCCATGACTGTAGGACCCCCTGAAAGCTGAAAATCACAGATAGAAAGATGTGAAAGTTTTGGCAACTGTTACACGCAGTTACATTGGTCTACCTTGGACCTACTGCACCATGCCTGTAGGACCCCACTGGAAGCTGAAAATCACAGATAGAAAGATGTGAAAGTTTTGGCAACTGTTACACGCAGTTACATTGGTCTACCTTGGACCTACTGCACCATGCCTGTAGGACCCCACTGGAAGCTGGAAATCACAGATAGAAAGATGTGAAAGTTTTGGCAACTGTTGCACGCAGTTACATTGGTCTACCTTGGACTTACGACGCCATGCCTGTAGGACCCCCCGGAAGCTGGAAATCAAAGAAAGAGAGATTTGAAAGGTTTGGCAACTGTTACATGCAGTTACATTGGTCTACCTTGGACTTACGGCACCATGCCTGTAGGACCCCACTGGAAGCTGGAAATCACAGATAAAAAGATGTGAAAGTTTTGGCAACTGTTGCACGCAGTTACATTGGTCTACCTTGGACTTACGACGCCATGCCTGTAGGACCCCCTGGAAGCTGGAAATCAAAGATAGAGAGATTTGAAAGGTTTGGCAACTGTTACACGCAGTTACATTGGTCTACCTTGGACTTACGGTGCCATGCCTGTAGGACCCCCTGGAAGCTGGAAATCACAGATAGAGAGATTTGCAAGTTTTGGCAACTGTTACACACAGTTACATTGGTCTACCTTGGACCTACTGCGCCATGCCTGTAGGACCCCCTGGAAGCTGGAAATCACAGATAGAGAGATTTGAAAGTTTTGGCAACTGTTACACGCAGTTACATTGGTCTACCTTGGACTTACGGCGCCATGCCTGTAGGACCCCCTGGAAGCTGGAAATCACAGATAGAGAGATTTGAAAGTTTTGGCAACTGTTACACACAGTTACATTGGTCTACCTTGGACTTACGGCGCCATGCCTGTAGGACCCCCTGGAAGCTGGAAATCACAGATAGAGAGATTTGAAAGTTTTGGCAACCGTTACACACAGTTACATTGGTCTACCTTGGACGTACGACGCCATGCCTGTAGAACCCTCTGGAAGCTAGAAATCACAGTAGTAGTCACCGCTACTACAATGATCTCCACTAGCTTCCCCCATTCCAAACTGCTGCCCTGCTGTATTGTGAACACAGAAGATCACTTGCTGGGCATGGGTGCCATTCAGAAAACATTTTGCATTTGTGCAAAGCATTCTATGATTGGACAAGTTGGAGAGGGTGAGGCAATGACATTTCATCAGAAAATGCTTTGCTTTCACTATTCAAGTATAACTTAAAGTGTTACTAAACCCAGGACCCTGCATTCACTATATCTGGTCTCCCACAGTACGCAACATGGAAGTGCAATTATTTCAGTAAATATAAACTGCTAAATACCTTGTCTCATCAGCAGTTAGAGCAGTCTTGTGACTTCAGTAGAGCACTAGTTAAAGCTTGTAGGAGGAGTTTTCTTTCTGCTCTAGGAGGATGCAAAACTCCCGACCTCTGTCTGGACAGTGCGGATTGGCCCTGTGCTGATCATGTACACTCTCCCAAGAAAAGAAAAAAACCTCTAGCAATACATACCAAACTGAACATGTGCATGTGGCTACTTGTTCAGTCTGGCTTATCAGGAGATAAGGCATGGACATCTGAACAAGAGGAGGGGCAGAGAAAACAGGATCAAACAGCCTTTTTACACAATGCAGAGGATTAACCCCTTAGGTTCCACAGTGAGTATTACAATCATGTCTTACTGCATATACAGACTGATTTTACTATTGTGGGTTTAGTAACACTTTAAGGCAAAATAGCTCTACAATGAAGCCTAATGGGTTGATTTACTAAAACTGGAGAGTGCAAAACCCGGTACAGCTCTGCTCAAACGCAATCAGTTTCCAGGATTTTTGTCAAAACTTAATTGAACAAGCTGAAGTTAGAAGCTAATTGGCTCCCACGCACAGCTGCACCAGATTTTATACTTCCCAGTTTTACTAAATCAACTCTACAGTGTAGCTAAAATAAAAAAACAAAAAAAACAAAAAACAAAAAAATCAGCATAAGGGACATAATTTACAGTCAGTAGGATGTGTCCTTTGTGCTGATTCCTCCTCTACCAATAGAAATCCTTCTCTGTCCATGCCTCCCCACAGCTACCCTTGGTCTTTAACCACTTGCTGCCCATCTACAGTACATATACTGCGAGTTGGTGGCACATCCAGGCTGTGCATGAGTGTGCCCCCTGCTGACCTGTGCTGTGCAGCACGTTTGTCAACACATTTCAGCCAGTGATTGTGGCTAAAACCTGCTGATCAACTGTGGCTAATCACATCACAGAGTTTTGTGCTTACAAACAGACAGAACTGCCAACTATTTCTTCTCCCTGAAAAGCAGGGAGAAAGAGCAGCCACATCTGTGAGTAAAAGCAGCACACATTACACACATTACACTTGTTAGGCACACAGTTAACCCCTTCATTGCCCCTTGATATTAGGTGGCTTAGGTGAGTATTGGGGGGGCTGGGGGAGATGCTGCACAGAAAAGGCTCTTTATCTTCATGCATAGAATGCATGAAGGTAACAAAACCTTGAGCCTTTACAACCACATTAACCCCTTCCCAGCCACTGTGATTGTACAGTATTATATCTGATTACTGGATTAGTGTCACTAGTGATGTCAGTGTTAGTGTCTGTTAGCGGCAGATTGTCCGCCACACTATTACAGTCCCACTATAAGTCACCATCTTTAAAAGTATAGCGTCTATAGCTCTGTAAATTTTATATATAGTTTGTAGATGCTATACCTTAATTATCTTTTTTACCAAAGACTTGTAGCAGAATAAATCTTGGCCTAAATTTATGAAGAAATTAGATTTTTTTTATTGGATGTGTTTTATAACCGAAAGTAGAAAATATTGTTGGTTTTTTTTTCAAGATTTATGGGTTTTTTTTTGTTATAATAAAAAATAAACCACCAAAAGACAACTCTATTTGTGTGAAAAAAAATTTATTTAAAGTTAATTTGTGTATAGTGTTGCATGACTGAGCAATTGCCAGTTGAAATAGGGGTAAATAGCAAAAAATACCCTGGTCTAGAAGGGGATAAAACCTTCCAGAGGTCAAGTGATAGCTTGTTTTTACCATCATTTGGGCACTACATGACGTTGTTTACACTTTATATACCTAGGCCCAAAAGAGTCAGCAATTTGGAATTAAATGATTAAAAATAAAGTCTATCAGATGTAAAACACATGTAGCATGGAGACTCCGCACTATGGTAACGGGTTTTGGCAGGAAAATAAAACTTATGGGAAAACTGAAAAATGACTTTTCACACAGAAACACAAACATTGAAGCATGCTTGTGTGTGTGATGCTGGGCCTGCAGTGAGAATTATGCTGACATATAAGTAAAGTATTTGATTATTGATAGAGCTGAATGAGTTTTGAAGACTCCAAATTAAAGAATATTATAATATTCCTGATGTGCTTGCTGTACCATGTACTTGTATGAAAAGCTTCCTTTGTGTGAAATCTCTGGTGTTCCTGCTAGTCCCTCTGCTTTCCTAATTTAAATTGACCACACTAAGCATGAGAGCACAGCGTGGTCAGTTTTCTGACTGTGCTGGGAATTCAGCCTGCTCTCCTGCAATGATCAAACTTGCTTCTCCTCCACCAGCTCTCTGAGCTCCTTATGCAGCTGAGAACAGAGGGTATGTGATCACTAATATCTGATTCAGTAATATTTTCTCCATAGCTTTTAGGTCTCATTTACGTGGATACTAAGGCCCATATACCTTAAAGGGGCTATTTATCTATTGTCTTGCAGGCAGGCCATGTACGTCTGCTGGGACACAGCGACTTGAACAGACACAGCTGCTTGTCATTCAGGGCCGCTCACCTGCACCCCTGTCAAATTCCTGCTCACTAGCTCCCTTGTCTCCTCCTCCCATGCTCGTCTCCAGGACTTCTCTAGAGCTGCCCCCATCCTCTGGAACTCTCTACCCCAATTTAACCTCCCTAGCGGTATGATTATTTCAGATTTTTGGTGCTGAAAGCGGTACCATTATTTTGCATGGAAATATGTAGTTTTTTTATTGTAGGCTGTAATTTTTAGGAATAACTCACTGAAATCTGTCCGAACAAGAGTCTAGTAAACATTTGAAACACGAAATCATAAATTATAATTTATTAAATAATCATAAAAAATAATATAATAATAATACATTTAATTCAATAATATAATCAAACCGAAAACACTGAAATTTGAAATAGAGCGCCAAGTTCGCACACTGCAAAGTCGCAAAATCATTTTCAGTGTCTGGTGACTAATTTCCCCACGAATCATTATCACTCAATTCTGCAAGTGGTTCTGATTTACTATCGCTGTTCTCTAGCTGGTCTAAACCCGCTTTTGACCTAAAGGGACACTTTTTGGACACCATGGACGTTTCTCAGTTTCCAGGCAGAAAGAACAGACAAAATGCAGGCAGGGCGCTGGACAAAGCACTCGGGACAATATGTATGTGAAATGGGTTGAAACAGCAATGTTTTACTATGTAAAATTTGTTTGGAAAAAAATAAAAAATTTTTAAATTTTCATCGGCCGGAGGAGATGGCTGGGAACATTGCAGGGGACACATCGTGGGAGCGAAGGACAAGGTAAGCTCTGCAGGGACTCCCTATGCAGCGCCGCATGGTAAGCCCAAGTGTAGCTCGGGGTTACCGCTTTTGGTACAGAAACTTTACCCCGAGCTACACTCGGGAATACTGCTAGGGAGGTTAACAGACTATCACCTACTCTGCTCACTTTTAGGTGATCTCTGAAAACCTATCTCTTCAGGGAAGCCTATTCTGCCCTTAGCTAATAATGGAATCTTCTACTTCTCCTACCAGTCCATCCTCCCCAGTTATTACCATTTGTACCACTAGCCCCTCCCTCTTAGATTGTAAGCTCCCAGGATCAGGCCCACCTAACCTCTTGTATTGAACTGTATTGTTGTTGTATTGTCTTCCTTTACTGTTGGCGCTATATAGATCCTGTATGATATAATAATTAGGACGATCGGCCGTATGCGTCCCCTTAGACCAGTGTTTCTCAACTCCAGTCCTCATGGACCCCCAACAGGTCATGTTTTCAGGATTTCCCTCAGATGAAACAGCTGTGGTAATTACTAAGGCAGTGAAACTGATCAAGTCACCTGTGCAAAATAATGGAAATCCTGAAAACATGACCTGTTGGGGGTCCATGAGGACTGGAGTTGAGAAACACTGCCTTAGACAAACATGGGCTACCTGCATTCATCACATGGTGGCTCAAGCCACAAAAATAGTCATGGTGCACAGGCCTCAGCACCTTACTCTGAGGCTTTGCTTGGACATTCAATGTATTATCTCAAATGGAACTGTTATGTTAAAATATTTTGTAAACATTCCCCTTGCTCTGTGTGTATGCCCAGCCAGAATGTTTTTGCTTCGTTTTGGATAAATTGCAGGAGAATTAGAACCCGTCTTGTCTTACTGCTGAACACTACAAAAGAGATATCCCTCAAAAAGCAAATATCTGCACCACAAAAAAATATAAAAATAAAACAACTTTCTTATGAGTTACAATAGACAATTTCATAACATCCCACCAATATGACACACAGGAAAAAAAACATGTAAAAACCATCAATCCATCAAGAATATCAATACACCAGTTCTTGTTAGAAAAATGTCATCTACCAGGAGTCTCAAATAAAGTCATGACACAAACCCGGACTAATACTGCAACCAATAAGAGTGCTGCTCCAGGCGCTGATACAAAATTATCCGGTGACTCGCATCCCTAGTGGGTGCCGGTGTCCACGAAGCTCATCCCTGCTCACGCAGAGTTGTACAACTTCAGAACGCAGGACGCCGCACACTAAAATACAGCCCAGGTTACAAGGAAGTAAGAAGCGGCTTCAGCCTGACTCCTCCCAGTCTGTGCCCTACTGACGCATTTCACCCCGTCCACAGGGCCTAGTTACCTCTATGACTAAGCCCTTGTGGGCAGGGTGAAATGCGTCAGATGGGCATGCCCTGGGAGAAACCACACTGAAGCTGCTTCTTACTTCCTTGTAACCTGGGCTGTATTTAGGTGTATGGCATCCTGCTATCTGATATTGTGCATCTCTGCTTGAGCTAGGATGAGCTTCCTGGATGCCAGCACCCACTAGCCGTGTGAGTCTAATGTTGTGTACCACTGACCTGGACCTGCAATATACGTAATATACAATGTTGTGAAAAAGTATTTGCTCCCTTCCCGTTTTTTGCATATTTGTCACACTTAAATGATTCAGATCATCAAACAAATTTTAATATTACGCAAAGATAACCCAAGTAAATTCAAAATGCAGTTTTTAAAATATGATTTCATTTATTAAGGGAAAAAGCTGTCTAAACCTGCCTGGTCCTATGTGAAAAAGTAAATGCCCCCTCCCCCCTTGCTAAATCATGAATGAACTATGATTAACCACATTTTCTGGAAAGCTGAGTTACATTTCGCTTGCAATACCCAGGCCTGATTACTGCCAGACAAATGTTGAATCAAGATATCATTTAAACAGAAGCTGTATGAATGCTAAAAGATCTAAAAAAGCAACACATCATGCCAAGATCTAAAGAAAGTCAAGAACTGATGAAAAAGTAATTGCCATGTATCAGTCTGGAAAGAGTTGCAAATTCATTTTTCTAAGGCTTTTGGACTCCAGTGAACCATGGTGGGAGCCATTATCTACCAATGGAGAAAACTTGAACCCTCCCAGGAGTGGCCAGACTAAAAAAATATTACTCCCAATGACTCATCCAGAAGGTCATAAAAGAACCCAGAACAACATCTAAAGAACTGCAGGCCTTACTTGTCTAAGTTAAGGTCAGTGTTCATGATTCAACAATAAGAATGTGACTGATCAAAAATGGCATCCATGAGACAGCTCCAAGGTGAAAGTCACTGCTGACCAAAAAGAACACAAAAGCTCATCTCACATTTTCCAAACATCTTGATCATCCCCAAGATTTTTGGGCAAATATTCTGTGGACTGATGAGACAAAAATTGAACTTTTTGGAAGTCTAGCGTAAGACTTAACAGCATTTCATAAAAAGAACATCATACCAACAGTCAAACATGGTGGTGGTAGTATGATGGTCTGGGGCTTCTCTACAGCTTCAGGACCTGGATGACTTGCCATAATTGATGGAACCGTGAATTCTGCGCTGTACCAGAAAATCATGAAGGAGAATGTTCGGCCATCAGTTCATGACCTCAAGCTCAAGCACACTTTGGTTATGCAGCAGGACAATGATCCGAAACACCCCAGTGAATCCACCTGTGAATGGCTAAAAAAAAAAAACAAAATTAAGGTTTTGGAGTGGCCTAGTCAAAGTCCGGACTTAAATCCGATAAAGATGCTGTGGCATGACCCTAAACAGGCCTCGAAAACAGGGTCGAAAACCCTCCAATGTGGCTGAAAACAATTCTGCAAAGAAGAGTGGGCCAAAATTCCTCCACAGTGATGTGAAAGACTTATTGCCAGTTATCGCAAACGCTTGATTGCAGTTGTTGATGCCAAGGGTGGCACATTAGGTTTAGGGGGGGCAATTACTTTTTCACATAGGGCCAGGCAGGTTTGGACAGCTTTTTTCTCATCATTGTTTAAAAAATGCATTTTGTATTTACTCAGGTTATCTTTGTGTAATATTAAAATTCATTTGATCTGAATCATTAAAGTGTGAAAAATATGCAAGCAAGGAAGGTGGCAAAAACGTCTTCACAGCACTGTATATAATATAATGTGACCTGCCAAGGGGAACACAGATTAAATATAACTACATAAATAATATGAAAACAGTGATGTAACACAAACATAAATAATAAATAAAACATTTGAAAATGGAAAAAAAATATTTGCAAAAGTAAAAAGAAATCCCGAGTGTATGAGAAAAGAAAGAGGCCATGTATCCCTCAGTTCTGGATGATGGAAGATAACAGATCATTGCCGGGTTGCTTTCTTTAGGACATTGGAATTAAGGATATCTAATCCTTCCCCACTCTGTCCAAAACTAAGAAAATAAGGTTAAGGCTCCATGTACACTGCAGCTGATAAAATCACGTTCAGGAGCTTTTCTCCGTTTTTTTTCAGCAGTCCCTGAACTCTCCCTAATGTTTTCCTATGTGTCCATGTACACTATGTCATTTACAATCGTTTACAGGCAGTTGAGTTTACAGTCTTTTTTTGAACGCACCAAACTTGCATTCAGGAGTAGATTTTATCAGCATTTCAAAGGCCAAATGCTTGTAAATGCATGTCAACGCGGCTAACTGCATTTATAAGCGTTTGCGTTTGGAAATTTTTTTTAACTCTTCCATTTCCAGATGCTGTCCAGACCTCTTTTTCATCATGAAAAATGCATGCAAAGCATTTCCCGGTACTCCAATGGACCTGGTACACAATACTTTGAGGTTTCGCATAAAAGAAAATATGTTAGACTCTGCTGCAATAATGTCTGCACAGAAAGAAATGAGCTGGAACACATCCAAACACCACAAAAAAAAAGACAACTAATCTCAACACATACTGCTTTCTCTGCTTCTGCTCTCTCTATTTCTCTCAAAATGTCTGAAATAGTTAATTTTTTTACTGTTTTTCAGTGCATTCTGTGCATGTTGGAAGGTCTCCTGATGTTATCTTTAACAATTGCTTTTAAATGCAAATGCTCATAAACGTGGTATGCAAACGTCGCTAAACAGAGGTTTTTTAACCTACGTTTTCCAGCAGTCAGTTTCCATCATTCAGAAGTGTTTTCCAAACGTCCCGTATACATGGAGCCTAACACTGGGAATGGAAATGCAGAGCTCAGATCATAGGCTTATTCTGGGGTAGCAG